TGTTATGAAAACGTTGAGAGACTATAACATCAATCAGTGAACTATATAGTTTAAAAGCAGCCGAACTTCCTTCACTACAAGCCCTGTATTTCACGCAGTCAAAACCACAGACTAATATATTTCACAAGCTTAATAACATTATCGTGGCGCCATTTACATATTCACATTCATCACAAAGGCAAATTTGCATGTGGATATAATTACAGAAGATAACTTTATTACAGATTATTGAATAAAACAGCTATAACTTTAACTTTACTGGTGCATCTATGTAAAAAAATGAAAAAAAAACAAAACAAAGCACTGACTGACTATAGGCTGAAGAACATTATTGCAATTCGGAAGAAAAATCATGGACTACTGTAAAATTCCCATTATTTCCTAAGCAGAATTAGCGTAATTATGGCTATTTATATCATACACATATACTCGCTTCTCTATTAGTCTTGGCGAACACTACAGGCCACATTATCTCCCGGAACTATATCAAATCATATGCGTATCTAATTACGGATCTGATATAATGAACAGAATAAATGGTAACTTTCGTATAAAGTTTCTAAGATCTTAACACATATCAGATTTAAGCACCATTAATACTACTGATGCTTTATCACTAGTCTTGAAGCATTATTATATATTGTTTAGTGAATTATTAACCGAATTTAGAGTTAACATAAGGAACAGAACAAATGAAAACAATTATTCTACCTATATCCTTCTATGAGTCTCTATCTTTCAATATTCTAATCTCAATATCTATCGAAATAAACACATGTTTTATAAATATTATTTCTTGTTACTAACATATATGCATAATAAACAGGTCAGAGAGCTACTCGGCAAAAATACTTATATATTAGTAAATAAAATCACTCCTTTTACCAGCATGAGAAAAATATAAAAAATGATGAAGTATCTTTAATAATTTTACATCTGATGGTGAAGGAAAATTTATATTTAGTCATAACAGATAAAAAGGAAAAATGGAAAAGAAATTCTATTCACTAATTATTGAATGAATGATTAAACGTAAATGATTATACATACATATGTAAGTGATATATATAGATATATACGTATATATATATATATATATATATATATATTATATACATATATATATATAATATATATATATATATATATATATATATATATATATATATATATATATATATGTATATACATATATATATATATATATATATATACATATATATAATATATATATATATATAATATATATATATATATATATATATTATATATATATATATATATATAATATATATATATATATATATATATATATATATATATATATATATATATATATATATATATACTAATGCTCTTATCCTCTAACTGAGTCAAGCCGCTCATTTCAGGTCTTTACTTGAAGCTGCAAGAGCAACAGTGAAGGCGATGCAAACAAACGATCACATTCAGTTTGAAAATCATGAAATCATCAAGAAAAAAAGAAAAAAAAAAAAACATTCCAAAAATACATAGGTGAGGTCTGTATCAAGTAATAGTCACACGAAGCAAAACAGACTCGAGGTTGACATCGGTCCTTCTCATGAACCTCAAGTTGGTACTCAAGCCACAACGTCTACTTGGTTCGATCCCTGCATGCCGAGTCCGCCCGCCCGCGCCCGAGGGAGAGGGCGTGGGCGGGGACACTTGATGCGGTAACGAGGGTATGCTGTCATGCTACACAATGCCCAATACGCTGGCAGTCATAAAATGGAAACTAAGAAAAGAAAGAAGAAATGAAAGAAAGAAAGAAAAAGACTCTATGACCGAGTACTTGCAAAGGAAAGGAAAAAGGATCATTTGCATATAGTACTTGAAAGTGTAAGGAAAACAAAACAGAAAGTAAAATTTAATCGAATGTTTTTTTGAAATTGCCCAAGTACAGATTGATATTTTTTTCGATTATGGGTGAAGTGGAAAGAAAAAAAAAAAAAAAGAAAACATTGATTTTCATTACCATATACATAACATGGTATTGAAATATAACAGGTGAATACAGCTGAAAATTATCAATGGATAATCTCAACAAATAAATGTATGTCAAAAGGAACAAGATACAAGTAAACATGCAAAACTTACAGGACTGATACTACTCTGAAAAAAACAAAGAAAAACAGTTAGCTACAGAGCAGGTGAACAAAGGAGAGTGGTTAAGGAATACACACAGCCACAGACCATCACCCGTGTACAGATTCTAGCTACAACTAGACCTACGACAGACAGAACACACCACAAAAAACATCTCATTACTCTTCGTAAACTAGCTGTTATGCCACAGTGAAATAAAAGAAGAAATGGTTATGATACTAGTTGGCAAATGCATACTCTTACGTTCACAAGATGCTACATGCTAAGCTATAGTCACAGAGTTATGGTAAACATTGACTGAATGGTAATATAGATAAAGTTCGATGTACCAACATTATGAATGTATTAATTCTGGTGCTGGAAAATCGTTTGT